GCTTTACTCCTCATAAAAAGTCCTTCAAACACATTGCTTTCATTTCATGACTTTGTCTTTAATATCATTCATCTGTAAGAATGTGCGAAGACCTGTAAGTAGCCCACCTAGATCCATACTGAATATTCTTTACTTCTCTGCTGTTGCACAAAATATACAAGGAAGTATATTGATTTTTGTTTCTTTTGGGCTACTGCCACAAACATTTCTACATAGTTTCAGATATTAACAACCAAGGCAGTCACTGATGTTATAGTTTTGGGGGTTTTGACAACAGGTTTGGTCTACGCAGCTCGTTCATCTTTGGACATGTATCTCCATCTGCCAGGCTGAGGTGCTTTTTCTCAGAAGCATTAAAATACACTGAACATGTGTTTGGGTTTGCAGAGATGGTGTGTCAGAATAATAATCTAAGCTGATGCCTCAGCAACAAAGAGGGCTGAGCAGAGCTCTAAGGCAGACAGGACACTCTCAGGAGAGCAGCAGTGACATTTCTGATGAAGGAACACAAACCTCACTCCCACCCATCCAGCTTCTCCCTTGAGGCATCCATGTCTTAGTAAGAGACACAGAAAAGGACAGAAATCCAGGTTTATCTGTGTCTGTGGGGATGGGGCCAATTATGTAGCCCTATCTGAAAGCCGCTGAGTGCATTTCTTAAAGGGTCTACCTTTGGCTGGAGGACTACAAGTATAATCACTTTCTGGTTTCTTGATTTTCCCTCTTAACTAATTATTTCCCTTTTCCTTCATCCGATGAAGAGAAAGCAATGGGAAACAGAATTATCATTTCCCCTGTAGTCTTAATTTGTGTTTAAGAGAAAAATAATCCATTGAATGTAATCAATGATGCATTTGTGAAACCTCTTGCTTAGTGATTGGGGTTACAGCTGATGCTGTCTAAACATCAGAGCTAGGGAGTCTACCCTGCTTTCAACATGGCACAATTTTCAACTCAGAGGGTAAACATCTTTAGTAGAGTCCCTGTGGAGATGGGTGAATGAATTATGCAGTTGAGACCTTGCTTAAACATTCACTGTTGTAGTTGACTACAGTGTTGGTTGGAGGTCCACCTTAGACTATTTGCATGCTGATATTTTAAGAGTATCCAAGAAGGGAGGTCAGCCTGGGAAACTCATCTTACCACATGATGGATGCAGAGCACACACATCTTGCTCAGACTGCTGCGTTGAGCCTCCAAGTTGTTTGCATGAATCCACTAAACTCTAAGTTCTCATGCAGGACATGAAAAGTATCTTGGAAAGTGACTTACATTCTTCAGTTTGAAGTTGGACCACAATCTAAAACATTTTTAAAATGATAAAAATGAGTGTCCTGGTATCATGTTTACATCATTGGCTTCAAAAAATATCAGAATCTACGGCTTCTTTGTGATTCATGAAGGATTTCTATCAAAGATAATATGGCTGCGCGTGATTCTTAGTTCTCAAGACGTGTTCGTTGGTTTTACCATGGTAGCATCAATGTAGACCTTGTTGTGCAAATGTAATTTTCAGATGGAAAACTTTAACATTTCTAACCCACCAGCACCTCCCCTCACGGGTCAATATCTGATGATATGGGATGTTGAAGTTTCACTGCTTGCTGGAGTCATGCTTAAAGGTGATGGGTCAGAGAGGGACAGCAGAGGCCAAGTTCTTTTTGTTTTTATTATGATACTTTAAGTTCTAGGGTACAAGTGCACAACGTGCAGGTTTGTTACATATGTATACTTGTGCCATGTTGGTGTGCTGCACCCATTAACTCATCATTTACATCAGGTTTATCTCCTAATGCTATCCCTCTCCCCTCCCCCGGCCCCACAACAGGCCCCGGTGTGTGATGTTCTCCTTCCTGTGTGCCAAGTTCTAATGATTGTATTAGGCTTCCTCCTAGCCACTTCTTACCACTTGGAGAACAGAAAATTGAAACTGTTTGTTGAAAAGAAGTTTTGGAGATAATCTATGGATTTGGTGTATCTTGGTAGCTGTAGGAAAGGAGACAAGATAGAGGACATTAAAGGGACTGGAAAAATAATGAAGGTCACCATGGTAGAGATGAGAGGGAGTGGATTATGTTGGCATTAATGTATATATGCCTCTCTTTCTCTCTCTTCTGTTTTCCTTTCATTCTTTTTCTCTCTACTTGTCACCCTTCTCCAAGTGGAAAGATAGATCTGGGTGTGTACCAAGGCCCTGTCTTTTGATCATGTCTTCTGCCCACTATTTGTTCAGTCTACTATATATTGAAGGCACAAATTGCATCTAGTAATACTAAAGTGAACAAAACAACATAAAGTGAAGTCTTGATTTAAAGTATATATGGGGAAATTTAATGACATTGGGGCACTCTATAGGCTGTGTGTATTGTTACACAATAATCATTAATATTTACTGAATGCCTTCTGTGTGTCAACTCCAGCAGTGGCAAACACATAGAGACAGGAATTTCTATGTCACAATTGCCATAATGAAAATATGTAAAAGGCACAATTGGGAGTGTCAAGAAGGAGCCTTGAAGTTTGCTTGGAGGAAATCAAGAGATAAACTTTTATCTTGACAACTGCTGTAAAAGTTTGTTGGGGAGAACTGGGATAATACATTCAGGGCAAGGGAGCACCATGTACAATGAGAAATGTGGGACATTTGGTATGGATAGAGTGTGAGCTGCAGGGCTAGAAAAGAGCATATGATGAATAAGTAGGAAGGCACAAGATCACAGCAGATGCTGAATGTTATACTCCTTCCCCTGAGCACTAGGGGCACAGAAGGATTGTAACCAAATCAGAAATAGATTATGAGTACGTGTAAGATTGAGTGGGAAAAGTTTATACTGGAAGCAGGGAGAGCATTTAGGGTATATGGCAGAGCTTCAGTGAGAAATCATTAAACCTAAACCAGGGCAGTGTTTTTCATACAGAGAAAGGTATGGTTTTGAGAGAGATTTAAGATAATAAAAATGTCTAGGACTTATCAGGTAATTGGATATAGGCAATTTTTTTTTTTTTTTTTAGACAGAGTTTTGCTCTTGTCACCCAGGCTGGAGTGCAATGGCACAATCTCGACTCACTGCAACCTCTACCTCCCAGTTTAAGTGATTTTCCTACCTTAGCCTCCTGCATAGCTGGGATTATAGGCACCTGCCACCACGCCCAGCTAATTTTTGTGTTTTTATTAGAGACTGGGTTTTGCCATGTTGGCCAAGCTAGCCTTGAACTCCTGACCTTAGGTGATCCTCCCACCTCAGTCTCCGTAAGTGCTGAAATTACAGGCATGGGCCACCATGCCCGGCCCTAGGCAATGGTTTTGTTTATTCATTTGATAAATATTTATTATATATTCACCAGGTCTCAAAAAAGTATTGGGACTACCTAGATGAAAACACATGAGACCTGCCTCCAAGGTGTTTATACTGTAGTAGGAGAGACAGATACCTCAGTGGACAAATTAAATAGGGCACTTGCATAATGGAATTATGACTGTTACTTCCAATAAGGACCCTAATAAGGGGTTCTAGATGATGTGTTCACTTATAGATGTGTTAGCTTAAGAAACCTGTGAGACAACCGATGGAGATGCAGTAGCTGCCTGGGGACAGACGACCAGGACTCAGGAGACACATGCTTCAGACTAATCAGGGTAGTTCACAGCCAACATCTTGTGAGCAATGGAATAATGAGGCAGACTGGGTTGTGTCTTAAGCAAAAAATGGGCAAGGGGAGAATAAGATTTTAAGGGCAACAGAGAAATAGATGCTAGTGAATGAGACCGAGGAACTTGCCAATGGGATAATGGGGAACATTTGTGTCTTATCTCCTATTTCTTTTGAAAGTCCTGCTTTGATGGAAGAGAAGCACCTCTACTATTTCCAATATCTATTTCAGTGCCTAGTATAGAGCAAGTACTTTAAAAATGTTGAGTTAATTAAATGTAATATAAACATTAGGGAATTAATTTCATCCTAATTGTGTGATGAAGGAAAGAGAAAGAGAGTGAAATATGCAAGATTTGAAAAGAACTGAACTTGGTATTTATTAAATTTGTGACCAGGGAAACTTTAGTTGTAGACTTTATCACCAACCACTGGGCCAGTTTGTTGTTCTTCAGTCTTGTACTATGTATCTCAGTGTCCTCTTAGTAAAATCAGGGGCTTGGGCTAAGAGACAAAGTCCTTTTTGGTTCTAAAAGTCTGAATTTAGAGACACCATTAGAGGGTCAAGCTGAAAGGATGATGTATTATCGACAGAAAGTGTGCTGTCAGTTTTCACTGATATATTATCTTATAAAACATTGGGACATTAAATATTTGATAGTGAGTGGAACTCTGGATATTGATTTTTTTCCCCTAGTCGTAAATGGCCTTTGCTTCTGAAGAATGGTAGGCATTGCAGAGTTGTTTATACCAGTAGATTGCATCTCTGCAAAACGAATGTCAAACAGTGCATCTGGGTATTGTCTTGATAAATTACATGACTCAGTGATCACTGACCCACATTTTGTAATATGATTTTATAAAACCCGTGTGACAATGCTAATGGAGATAGATGCACTGTAGTTCTTATACAGTAGAAGCCAACAGTGTTCCTTGGGAAAAAATGGAAACAGGAAATGTTATTACAGATGCGCTATTATAAGATTTCATATAAAGAAAAAATGTCAGGTGGGTAGATATTCTATATAGGGAAGTTGTTAGAATTTCAAGCAAATTTACTGAATGCCAACAAATAATACTACTTTGTCAAAAGTAACAGTTTAATTCTGTGCTTCTAGAATCTCCACTGGCATAGCACCAGGTGTGAAATAATAGGTTTGTGCTCTCTACATATGCTGGGTGCGTGATACTTTGGCTTATGTGGTCTTGGCTTGGGATTTCCGATTTATGACTTATTTTAGTGGTGGCAGCCTGCATCTGAGGCTTCCCAGCAGAGGAAAGACTCTGACCTTAATAATGAAGAGTTTTAGACCACCTCATGCAAAGAAGAAGAGTACCTCAAACAATAAATTCACCTGTGTTTACCAAAAAAGCAATTGGACAATTTTAAAGATTCTTTATTTTTTTGAAACACAGCAGCTTGTATTGTTTCATCATGTAACCTGCCAAGATAGAAGGAAGAATTTAGTGAGCTTTAGAATGCAAGATGTGTTACCCCAAATCTCTTTCTAAACAGAACATCTGGATTCCCAGAGTTTTGTATGTCTGCTCTAATCCAGAGTCCAAGTTTTTGCTTATTGAAAAAATAGAATTATTGATTGGCAACTGCACATGATTATAGCCACCCTTTTAACTTTATTTTAAAAATAACTGTAGGAGGCAGGACATGGTGGCTCATACCTGTAATCCCAGCACTTTGGGAGGCTGAGGCAGGCGGATCACTTGAGGTTAGGAGTTCAAGACCAGCCTGGCCAACATGATGAAACCCCATGTCTACTAAATATATGAAAACTAGCCGGGTGTGGTGGCACATGCCTGTAGTCCCAGCTACTCCGGAGGCTGAGGAACAAGAATAGCTTGAACCTGGCAGGCAGAGACTGCAGTGAGCCAAGATCACACCACTGTGCTCCAGCCTGGGTGACACAGCGAGACTCTGTCTGCCTAAATAAATAAATAAATAAATAATTGTAGCAATCTAAAAAACACTAAGCTTATTTTTATCACCTTTTTAGAACAGAGTTTCTAGTCTCTAATTGCCAAGTGTGTATATAATGTTCTATTATTTTGCATCTTAGTCATCATTGTCAGAATCAAAGTGAGGGTGGAAAGGTGAAGCCAAATTTACAAAAACAAAACAAAACAAAAACAAAAACAAAAACCTCCCAGATAATTTAGGTTCATGAAAGGACGAAAGGATTTTTTTTTCTCCTGAATTTTTTTGAGGGTTTGAGGGCAAGGAAACTGATGAGGTGAGTTTCTGTGAGTTTGAAGTCTTAAGCTTAGAGCATATGCAAGCACAGATGTGAGCCTAGAGGTCAGATGTCATCATCTGTAAGTGTTAGTTGAAATTTGTGTGTGGGCGAGATTACTCGAGGGACAGCTTGAGGAGTGAGATAAGTAAAGCTCTGAGAGTCATATCTTGGTAAAGATCAATTTTTAAATGGCTGGTGGAGAGAGACAAGAAAACTCAAAGAGAAGAGTCAGTCAGTCATGAGGAAAACCTTGAAGCTTAAGGCAGAAGAGAATTTCAAAAAGAAGGGAACTGTCAACAATGACCAATGCTGCAGGGAGATAAAGTAATAATTGAACTGGAACGTGTCCATTGTATTTGTCAACCAGTAGATGTTACTGACCATTGTGAGAGTCAGTTTGGTGGAACAACCATGGCAGAAACCCAGATTGCAATGGATTGAGGAGTAAATAGAAAAAGAACAAATAGAACATACATCATTTCCTTTTGAAAAAAGACTAGTTTTTCTTCAGTGAAGTTGCATTATTACGTGTGTGTGTGTGTGTGTGTGTGTGTGTGTGTATGTGTGGTGGTGGTGGCAGGGTTGTAAAATGAGATTTCAAGAAGAAAAAGGAGTTTTAGAGTGTTGTAATAATGGAAAGAAAAGTCTGTTGTGATCTAAACTGGGGCCAGTTCGGGGATTTTATGAAGACAACAGAATCTGAAAAAACGCAGACAGACTAGATGCAGCATTATTCAGTAAACTTTCCTGGAAGAACATGAAGTACAAGCAAGAAAACAGAAGGAGGAAGGCAAGAGGCCCAGGGTCAGACTGAGGTTAAACACTGAAGCCCTTTAAAAAAAGTGGTTGAAAATTGTATTATAGTCCATAACATAATGGAATCTCAAGGTGTTAGGTATGGGACAGTCATCCTGAAAGCCAAAATAAATTTGTCAGTAGCTTTGAGCACTGACAATTTCCAAACAAAGAGGACTCTGGAAGCGACAGGCTGTAGAGGTGGCACAGGTAGAATTTGGAGTAGTGGGATTGGGGTTGCAGGAAAGGGGTGGCCCCAGCAAATGTTTGGAGGATACCAGTGGCTGTGCTTGAACTCAGCCTCCATGTAAGAGGTCAGAGGTGAGTGGAGAGCCACTTTTATACTTGTTTCTTGAAATGTTTGTGATAGAGTGGCATGGTCATGGGAAAGGAAGGTTGCTCAGCATTTATGACTAAGAAGATGGACAAAAAGGGACCACTAGGTCCTACGTCAGAATTCCTTAGGAGAAACTTATCCCAAAAGCTTTGATATCTTTGGTTATTTATGCTACAACATCTGTCATCATGGAGGTGTCAGAAATTTTAAGAAAGCATGAAACATGAGGAAGAGATGTTTGGGATCCTTTAAAAGAATGAGCAATAAAAGAAGGAATCAATTCCTGAAACCGAAGGGTAAATATTGAATGAAAGCAGACAGGAATGACTCTGAGGTGGCAATATTGGTCTGGAATAGTCATTCTCCTCTAGTCCTTCAGTGACATTGAGGTAGGGGTGGTTATGATGAATTTTTAAAATAGGATCTCAAGGTAGGAAAAGCCAGACCTCTCTTCCAGTATAAAAATTCCCTTTAAATATTCCCAACAAATTGAATGAACATCTCCAGTATCTTGGGTTTGTTATTAGACATGTTCATCTTTAGTGACCATCTCTGAGAGACGGCACAAGCCTCTCCATTGGTAGGAAGACCACAAGCTACAAGTCCACCTATTCCACTTACAAATTTGACATACATTGTCATCCAATACTCTATAGTCAATTACCTCAACCACCCAAATTATTTTTCTTTCTTTTTTTAATCTACAAGTACATCAGAATATTTATTTATATAGAAAAGCACTGGAAAGGAGGAACACAAAATACAAAAGACACAAAATTATTTTCTTCTAAAAATGTCTTCCTTATATAGAGCTTTCATTCGGTGGTCCTATTTCAATCCTCTGGAGTTACTCTTTTAAAAAATTAAAGTCTTCTATCGCTGTTCAGTTATATCTTTCTACCATTTTCTTATACCATGGTCTTCAAATACCTTGACATTGGGTATCTGAACCTAGAATTGGACACAGTTCCTAAATGTGAGCTGGTGATGTTTACTGGAGCCACTGCCACATCTAGAGCCAAACACAGTAATATCACTCACACGGTCTGTGTTTTATTTTCCTAGCAAGCAGGGTCACAGTCGCTAGCACAACAGGTTTTTGACTCTTGAATTTATAATTTCACATGAATTGTTATAAAGTGAGGATTCCCCATTTTATTCTTCTGGAAGAGATTATCTTTAAAACATAAATGAAGATTAAAATTTTATCTTACTGGCAGAGGCCCTTTGCTCCAGCCTGTCAAGAGCTTTCTGAATCTTGATAATGTTTCAACAACACTTTGCCTCCTTCCCAGCTTTTTGCAGTCCATAAAAAAGACTCTGCCTCAGTTCTTGATAAATACACTGAATAAAACAGAATCAAAGAAAGGGCATAGAAAAATGCCAACAGAATTCGTTTTACTTGCTAACAATTTTATGCATTGACATTTCATGGGACAATTTTTCAAATAGTTACCAACTGACCTACTTCATTGCTACGCAGTTCGTAGTTCTCCATCATATCCCCAATAATGTGATGGGAGACTGTCAAATCACTTGGTGAAATCAATGTGCATTTTCTGGCTTACAGACCTCCAAAGGTTCTCTACTACTCTCAGAATAAAGTCTAAAGTACTTAACATGGCTTTTAGTTTGGACTCTTGTCTGTTTCTTCTACCTTTCTCTCTGCATTCCTTACTCTCGACTTTGAAGTCTATGCTTCAGTCTTCCTGAACTACCTACAGCCTCCTAAGCCACCTCGCTCTGTCAGCTTGAAACCTTTCACCTCCTGTTTTCTCTGTCTGGCACGTTCTTCACCTCCAGTTCCCAGTTGTTTTGGCCTGGCTTATTTCTCTTTATGCATCCAATCCCCTTAATACGCCAACTTCCTAGAATAGAGTTTCCCTCATCTAAGAGCTTCCTTTCATCTTTCCCCATTGCACCCATGCTGAACCCCATGAAAACTGACCTTGGGTTCTTTTCAACTTCTCCCACTAGACTTAAATCCCCTTGAAGGCGACAACTGTGTCCCGTCCGGCATTTTATCCCAAAGGCCTATTACGGTAAACAGCACATAGCAGGGACTCAATACATTTCTCTCTTTAAATCAATCCTGACTGGTGTTTGAATAAAATCTGCCTGTAATATTCTTTCCATTTCCTTCTAATATAGTAAGTGCATAAAAATAATTTGTCATGAATTATTTTTGGCTACTTTATGCTGGCCTTTGGTGATTGCCTCTTTCCCTATTAAGTGCATACACATAATTGAGTTAAGAATCCATTTTAAAATGTTGCTGGGTATGAAAGTCAAACTCATCTGGCTTTAGATTATGAAATCCCTCTTTTTGAAATCTAAGGCATTTACTTAGCTCTGATCTTCTGGCAATTTTCCCATTCCCTCTGATTTTTTTTTTTTTTTCCCAGGACACGAGCAGCTGCAATAACAGCTGCAAATTGTTTTAATTGTCTTAGATATAATGCATCTGGACTTGAACACATTTTAAAGCTGTTAGACACTCTCTTACTATCTCCCCTACTAGGATTTGTGTTCTATCCTTCATAGTCGGAGTATCTTTCTCTTTTGTGGAGGAGAAATGGAATCAAATGAGAAAGAGAATCGTTATGCTTTTTTTCTTTTATCATCTTTAAATTAACTTGTCTAATCTTTTGTGTTATTATTAAAAACATGACTTTAAAACACACTAACAACATTATTATTTTGGTCTCATCTAAACTGAGGTCTGGAAGGGTTTCCCAGCGAGGTTGGTGGAGGTGGGTGTCAGGGCGGGGGTTGGGGGGCAGGAATCTAAATGGATAGACACGAAATGGCAATCATTGTGGGTACCCAAGATCTGCTTGGTTCCAGACATTTCGATAGATGGGGATGTTGCTACAAACATAATTTATTCCCCATCCTCAACGAGCTCATGGACAAATAGTCGGTATTAAAGGCCATAATGGTATATTTCAGTTAGCTGTGAATCTACCTTGGTTAAAAAGAGAGGTGCTAGTAAAACAATTGTCTATTTTGTACAATTTAGTTTTATTTCCTTATATTCATCCACATACCTTTTAAGTCATGGCTCTCAACCATGGATTGAGAATTCCCCAGGGATTCTGAACTGGGTAGCAACAAAGTAAGTAGATTTGTAACTATATGGGAACTTTGCTAACACAATAGAATCAGAACCAACTTAATCAGAATCTCTGTGGGTTGAAGCCTAGGTAGCAGTATTTATTAAAGCTCCCACAGAGATTCTAGATTCAGAGAGGTGAGAATCACTGTCTTAAGCATTACTATGTGTATAAATAGTGCTGTGCAGGGGCTGAGGAAGATCTATACTATCTTACGTAATAAAAGGCCTTGTTCATCAAGAGGTTATACTCTATTTGAGTAGACAAGGTGTGCACATGGAAAAGAGCAAAGTAAAACACCAGGGTAGTGTGTTGTATGGTTAAGAGCCAAAGTGAGAGGTAGAAGCAAAAAATGTCATGGAAGTTATAGGAAAAAAAGAAATCCATTATGGATTAGAGTTGTGAGAGGAGTGGGACTTTGGAGAATGTACAGGATCTACGTAGGTAGTAGGACAGGGGCATGTGGTTCTGATAGGAAGCACGTAAATGAGCAAAACTTGATGTCAGGAATGTGTGTGGAATATCCTGAGCATTTATCGGACCAGATCAGCCAGGACTGACTGTAAATTTTATTTTGGAGAGCAGTCATAAAGTAAGTTTATGGAATTAAGACTGAAGCTTGAGCAATTCATAAAGATGTAGCAGAAATTATTCTGAAAAAGTTAGGGCCAATTGTAAATGGACTTGAATTAATTAAAAAAATCAGTCAGTAGTAGGGAAACCATGGAAAATTTTTAGCAGCAAAAAGCCATGATCAGAGCTGAGCTGATGTTTTGCATGTTATTTTGAGGTAATTTTACTTTAAAATATAGGTAATCCTTTTTTTTTTTTTTTTAAAAAAGAACGTAACTATAATCCGTAAACATTCTCAAACCTTTTTGAAATCAGCAAATATTTTGTCATTGATCAGCCTCAACTTTGTCAATAATTAAGTGCAGAATCTGCAATACAAATTCAGTAAAGGAGGCCAGGCGCAGTGGCTCACGCCTGAAATCCCAGCACTTTGGGAGGCCAAGGCGGGCGGATCACCAGAGGACAGGAGTTCAAGACCAGCCTGGCCAACATGGTGAAAACCCGTCTCTACTAAAAATACAAAAATTAGCTGGGCGTGGTGGTGGGCGCTTGTAGTCCCAGCTACTCGGGAGGCTGAGGCAGGAGAATGGCGTGAACCCGGGGGCCGGAGCTTGCAATGAGCCGAGATTGTGCCATTGCACTCCAGCCTGGGCAACAGAGCGAGACTCTGTCTCAAAAAAAAAAAAAAGAGAGAGAGAGAGAAAGCTAGATCTCATGGCCAAATGGAAGTACGCTAATGCTCTGATTCACCTGCGTCATTGGTGTGCTGTAAATGTGTAATAACCCCACTCCACCACTCCAGGAGAAAAAAAGCCCTGATTTATAGCGTTTACTGATTTCCATGGTGTAAATACTACCACTATGACCAATTTCAAAGGTCCTATCGGTTTAAAAATGTTTGCAGTATTCCTGAAAACTTGACATTGACTCTCACAAACTGGTATGAGCTGTTCCCCAGCACAGCACTCTGTGTGTGTACATTACCTCTTTCGTTATAACAGTTTGTCTCTGGGAAGACGGGCAGGTATGGAAAATTTGCCTTTGAAGGTTAATATTCAGTTTACTGTAAATTTATGTAATGCATTTTTAAAAGGGGATTAAGTGATTAAAGAGAGAAAATGCTAACACTTTCAATGTAGGATAATCGAAAGAATATTTGGACACCAAAGTCTCAGAAAATGCCATTGCAGAAGCGTCTTGCCCTGAGGGAGGGGCCATGTAGTGCTCAGGGGGCTGGGCGGAACTCTTCTCACCTTAGTTTGATGGTGTTTCCAGTGGAGCAGTGAAGGGTTTAAAACGCCTGGCAAAAAATATGCATGCGCTGAATCAATCAGATTTCCACGCAAGGGTGCTCTGCTTGCCCCCCGAGGAATCCTGGGCAATCTTATTCCCTGAAGCTCGGGCCGCTGCTGCACTGGATCCTTGCAGCGTTGGCCTCTGGGCCCCCTCCTGCTTAGTTCCTGGATAAAAGCAGCCCGGCCGCACCTGCCTTGCCAGTGCAAACTCTGCAAGACTCTCAACGCCATCAGCCCTGGTCTGATTGCAGTTGCCTGTTCACAGCCCCCAATCATTCACAACGCCAATTAGCCCGGGCCGGGTCCTCCGGCGGAGCGGGGGCGAGCGCGCGGGAGTCCATTTCCAGCGCCCTGACGCCACCTGAGTCCCGCGCCCGGTAATGCGGCTTCCAAGGGCAAGGCCGCCGCCGCGTCCCTCCGTGTCAGCGCATTTCCCTTTCTTCTCCGCTTCAAGAACAACTGAAGTGTGGGTAGGAGAGCCATTTAGTCCAAACTACAGACGAAAATGTTTTTTCCTTCTGATAATGTTCCCGGTTCCGTCGCTCGGTATTATGCTCCATAATGTGCCGCGTGCAGCCATTTTGTCATCGCTTTGGGTCATCCTTGCTCACAATTGGTTATTTACTCAGGGGCTTTTGAAATTATTGAGTTGACACATCTGTCAGACGGCAAAAGCAGAAATGCTAAAAGGTCACTTGGAGAGAAACCAGCTGCTCCAGACAAACCTTTCTGCCTCCAAATAGCACAATCATTACAGCCTGACAGATGGGGCCTTCGCTTTCATTTCAGGCGCTCCCCTTGCCTTCAGGTATTTAGCTACCCTACCTCATTGCCAGGTCAGCCGGGCCTCCCTGTAATTACCCACACAATAGGCATCTCTCTGCTTAAGAAGAACAGCTCTATTTTCTCTAAGTAGGAAACCAGTTTCCTCACGGATATGAGCTACCCAATGCTTGCCACAAACTTTCCTATTAACAGATTCGTTTTGACAGTGGTAAGTATGTTTCTATTACTTCTGCAGCCTTCATTACACCCTGAAACATGAGGCTGGGTCTGATGGAACGGTTTGGAGGGCTTCTGAGGGTCTCTGAGTAGATGGCACCTGGGGAGTATGGCTGAGATTCCCTTTCCGCTTCACCTGAGTCTGCCTCCTTCTCACCTCGCTCACCTCTTTGCATGCCCCTGAGGCTGTGGGGGGGGAACAGGGCCAAAGGCCATGCCTGTCTGTGCTGCTCCACTAGTAGGTTTCATGGAGATGCCTTTTTCAGGTAGCCTGACTTATGTGTGAATGTGCGTGTGTGTGTGCCTGTGGTAATGGGAGAGAAAGTAAAACAAAAATCAAAAATCAAAACAAGCTGATGTTGATCTTCAATCATATAGGGAGCGAAAGGAAATTCTTCCGTAGTCAGATACTTGCAAACTCTGTTTTAGGGGACAATTAATATGTCAGCAGCTGTAATAACATCATCTTAATCTTTCAGAGTAATGACAAACAAATTGATCAACATAAAGATGTGTCTCTCAACCTGGAGTGGTAGAGGGGTGATTGTTAGAAACCTGAGTTTAAACCTGCGTCTTTTCCCTGAAGTAGTAATATTACCAGAGGTAAGGTAAAAGTTTTCTCTGTCGTTAGGGGGATGCCTCAGTAGGTAAGTTTAAAAAGCACTGCATTGAGCTACCTGCGTGAGGCTGACAGTGAAAGGGGGTTTGCGAGTTGCCACATAATTACAATTAAAATTCTAAAATCATCACAGATTGAGTAGGTGAGGTGATCTCAATATGCCCTTTCGGCTTGTTGGAGCTTCACACATAAATGAATGGGAATTCTGAGACTTCATTTGGGAAATGCTATTAAAGTGCTTCAAACAGAAAAAGAATAGCAAAACCGTTAACAGCCTAATACCATGGCAACTAATGATTGATGCTCCCAGATTGATGATTTGCTTTTAGTTTCCCCCTGATCTGCTATCTTGCCTGTTAGTCTTCAATTTCTATCTGTGCATTTTCTTAATTCTATCTTTTATTCTGGAGGTTAAACAAGTGACTTGCAGTTGGCTTTATGGTCTGTGAGCTCCGAGAGTAACAGCAAAAAAGAGGGCTTCACACATTGTATCTCCGTTATCCCACAATGATTCAATAAAGTCTTGTTATATACCATAGTCTGAGCTTAGCTGTGAATCAAGAACTGGTGAGAAGTTGAGAACTCAGATAGCTTGTGTCAATATGACCTATTATTTCTAGGAAATTCTTTCTCAACAAGATAAAACTGTAAACCAGTAAATAACTTTACTGTTTGCTTTAGGAAATTCTTGCAAATTAATTTATCTGGGCAAAGCATTTGGTTATCTAGGCAAACAGTTCTATGAGAATGATAGACTCCTCATCTAAGCAACAGTTCACTTTTCAGATAATAATTTATCACAACTTGCTTCAAGACATGAGTGTTGCTGTATTCACCAATTCTAAACTACTATGTCATAAACGTTGTCTAATCTCAATTAGTTCTCCAGCTTGAAAGACTCCCCCTTAAGCCAAATTACAGAATTCTGTAAATATCCATTTTCTGATCTGCATCCTCTGAGACCAAGTTTCTGTCATGGTGGTATTCTTTACAGCGGTAAGTCTAATAAACTTTGCTTTGCTCAATCACCAGGTTTTTCTGGTGGTCTCTTTGGGGGAGTTGATGGTTAACAAAGTGTACTGGTGTCCAGTCTTGAAGCACATCAGTGCAGGAAGAGAAAACACCCCAAAGAGACCCTAGGGAAGTTCTGATATAGCAGTATTTCAGAACATGGGTAATAGGGGGAAGTTAAGATAAATTTTGCAGCATATGGGTCCTCCACTGGGGTTCCCAGAAATTATGTATGGAGGAAACCTGGAAAAAAATAGACTTCCTGTGATTCACAGGACAGGATTCAGTCATTATAATTTTAATATTAAATAATAAACAATCTTATTTTGAGATCACTAGATGTTGAAGCCTAGGGGCATATGGATTCTTAGGCAGAAATGATGTAGTTTGGAGTTTTGGAGGAGGAGGACCTATGGGAGAAGGGA